GGGGGGGGCGCGGGGGGCCCTTCCCGGCGGGGGCCGGGGGGGGGGGGGGTTTTTCGGCCCCGTTGCGGTTTTTGGGGGGGGGGGTTCTCCCGCCCCGGGGTGGCGGGCTCTGGGGGTGGTTTTGGCTTCCCCTCTCCTCCTGTTTTGGTGCGGGGGGGGGGGGGGGGGGGGGGGGGGGGTTGTAGCGTCCGGGGAAAACGGTGAAAGCAAGGGATTGAAAATGAAGGTCTTTGTCTCTTCGCCGTCTAATGAAGAATCGTTTTTCACGGTGCCAGTGAGGGGCGTGCATACGCCCGTGTGTGTCGGCATGCTTCATGGGACCGACCGGCATTCTGTATTCTGGAGGTGTTTCGCACTGTTGATGGCTCATGTCCAGTGGTCAGCAACCTGATTGAGAACATGCTCTATGTTGAGGGAGCATTTCTGGCCTCGTCTCAATATTGAGACTAGTTCCCGGCTTGTTTGTTCTCGTTTTTTCCTTGCCGTGCGACATGCGATGCTGCAGTACTGCAGCCATGTCTCTTCTCTCATTGCGCTGTCGCACACGCCAAGCAAGATTGACTCGGAAAGATCTCGCAGAGAAAATGAGTGGTCGATTGTCGGCAAGAACAACGGGAGCGATTGGTCGAATGGCAAGATAACGGAAGCGGTTGTTTACGCGTGCATCCTTTGAAGTCTATATTATTTTGCCCTCGTGTGCTACAGGATAGCCGCAGCAGGCAAGTGTCGGGGCAAAGGCGCGCGCCTTGTTTTCTCCAGCAAACTCTCCCTAGAACAACACCTCCCCCCCCAGATTGTTCTGCTGCTGCAGCCAACACTGCCCCGCGACACGAAGCGAAGGCGTGGGAGCGTGTGGGCGCCCGACATCCGTCACGAGGAAGTCTCTCTCGTTTCTATGTACATGTAGTAATGGCATGCAGAGAGTCCGTCGTTGGCAATGTGGATCATTCTCCGAACACAAACCGAATCCGGCAATATGCTGTTTGAAGGCATGGTCTTGTTGTCTGGTGCAGGACGTGGTGGTGCGCGACTGCTGCCAATAGTGCTGCTGTAGGATCGTGTCCACCCAACAAACAGCTTGTACTGCTGTTGTATCATGACACGAATTGCGAATTGCTGCTGCTGTGGTTGGTTGTCGCGTTGTCGCTCGTCGTGGTGAAACGGTGAAACGGCGAAACGCGGCGAAACGCCTGCGTGGCACAAAAAAGCCTCAAAATCCGATATCGTACTCCTGCACCAACCATGCTTGGGAGTTGACCTTGTTGTTGACTTTGACGGAAGGCCGCACGCACACGCGCACCTCCTCTCCCTCGGTTGATTGGGTGCCGACGCCATGGCTGGACTTGCAGGTGAGCCCTGACTTCCTGGGCCTTGAAAGCCATGCGCTTTCGTTCATCATTGCACCTGCAATTCTGAACTACAGCAGGGAGGACATACAGCAGTAGTACGGAGAATCAAGTGTGTTTACGTTATGTTCGAAAGAGAATCAAAGGGAGGGGAGGTGGAACAATACAATTGATCTCCGGAACTGCTACATATGTGGCATTACGTTCGTCTGCTGGCTAGCACGCTTGGAGTACTGCTCAGTGTGCTGTAGTCTTGGTTGCCGCACGTTTTTCCCGCCGGCCTCGCGGCGTAGCGTTCGTAGTCCACTTTACTGCTGTTTGAGACAACCTGGAGATACACGATGTATCAATAGCATGCATGTGCCAAGGGCTTTCCAGCGGAGATTGCCGGAGAGAGCGGACAATACCCATGAGACGCAAGATAGAAGCAACTCGAGCGGTATGGCACAAGGTCGTGGTTCTTCTAGCCTCTGAGGCGAGAACTGAGCGGCGCCGTCTCTACCTGTAGCTCGCCTGCTACGGCTGTAGACTACTTACTGTATTTGTCACACCGAGTGTGGACTCCGGCAAGCACGAGCTGCACATGATGGACAAGCTTATTTAGCTGTACATGATGCGCAGCTTATTATAATGGCAGGGTCAGGCGAAGAACGAATTCTATGCGTTGCCGTGCGTTACTCAGCCCGTAAGGTGCCGTGTGGTGAAGACACGAGACAGCCATTCGCTTGAGATTCGCGACTGCATGTACTGTGCACGCATTCCGTGAGTACTTGTAGGCTTGCTCCGTTCTTCGGCCCGTTCCAAGGCCACTCACTGGTGGAACAAAGAACTCATGCAAAGGCGCAACAAGTAGAGATGCAAAGATACCGGGGGCCTTCTGGACGTCCACGAGTGTGCGCGGTTCAGAGTACCAAGGGTCGATGTCCACTTGTTTTCTCACCCACCCCAATGTTGACGACAAAAATCTACCGCAGTACTACAGTTGTATCATCCCGCTCTTACCTGTTGGCGGCGGGTGGGGGGCTTCGCCGAAAACTGGTACCATCTGCGGCCTCCCTATGAAGTCGAAATCAACCCATTAGATCTACATATTATAAAGTCAGCGCTGACTGGAAACATTGTTTCATTTCGGCTTCTAAATACCTCGTGCGTAACTGCCCTGTGAGCCTGTGAGTACAGCAGTGGCAACGACATTGTCCACGTGGACAGGTATGCATCACGATCCGTACTTGGCCTCATATTCACCAGGTACTTGTATGTACGTAGGCCGACGCTCTCACTATGAGTTGTGTGTTCCTAAAACGCAACCAAGATACAGCAGTTATTTAGCACCATGCGTTGCTGTTTGCTGTTGTTGCCGTCTTCTTCTTCGGACCTCGACGGCACCCTCCCCCCGTGGTTGCCCCAGCGGCTGAAATCCTTCAGTTTTGGTGACCTCGTAATATGTACGTAGGCTTCTGGTGTTTTGGGACATGAGTGCGAATCTCGGCACAGCAGTCGCAGGAACTGAACTTAAGTCTCCGAATGATTTTTTTTTTTGTAGAACGCCGATTTAGTTGATTCGTGCGTACAACTACATACTTGTACAACCCACGATATTCGACTAAATACTGCTGTGGGGTCGACGAGGGAAAGGGACGCCTGAATCCTTCTCGATAAAATTTGAAGGCAAGCACGGCAGAGGAAATGTGGAGAAAAACAAAGAAAACTCCCCGTGTGTGGCCTTCCTCCTGTGCGGCCTACCCCGGCTTACGCGTCCGGAAAACATGCCGAAAGAAAGGTGTAAGCAAGGCTGACGTCCGGAACGTGGGGCGGAACATAAACGCACTTTTTTTTCTCATGCTGTCAAGCCTGTCGTATTCCCATTGGTCAGCCGGTTGGCGCGGTCGATGCTCACGACAGGAACACAGACACACACACACATTCCCACAGGGTCCCGGATCATGGGGCTTTAGAAACATGTTCTGTTTTCAACCGCAGTGAGATCAGGTGTATGTATTTTCGTTGGTGAGCCGTTCCGACCGGCCGATGCTAATTTATATAAACACATTCACGCGCATTTGTAGCCGCAATATGCGTAACATGAAGTCATCTTTCATTGGTCAGCCGGTTAGCGCGATCGATGCCAATAATTGATACGACCCCACGCGTTTTATCCTGTGCCTCCTCCTCCTTCCCCTCCGTAGCATGCTCGGGAGACAACCGCTGCAGCCGTGGGTGTTTCACAGCTGCGTACAGAACACAACGAGGCAAGTCGTACCGCATCGCACCATCAACCATTACTCTAAATTCCGTGGTCTTCCCCCCTCCCCGCCGACCCCACCCACCGCGCTGCACTCTGTCCTCACTTCTTTTATAGAGGATGAGATCGTGGAGCACACGCTGACGCAGATCCAGGAGTGCTACCTGTTCGAGCTCCCCCCGCGAGTCAGGGCACAGGGATGGCTGTGAGTTTTTTCTGTCGTGAGACTTTGTGGGTTTGGTTGTGATTTTTCGTTGTCTTTGTCTCGTCTCGTCTCGTCTCGTGGCCGCGGACAGACGTCGCCGAAGCTCGCCGTCATTAGTTTTTATCGCCTCTGGTGTGCTTTGATGATTCGCACCCGCTGTTTGTGCACGTTTGGAGGATTAGGAGTTACCATCGCAGTGCGTGCATCCAGGAAGGAATTGATACAGCAGTAGTACCATGGTATTTCTACCGCCGTACCACGGTTTTTTTTCTGACAGGTATGGAGGCAATCAGTACCATGGTATTTCTACCGCCGTACCACGGATTTTCTAGCCATTTTTTTTTAGGCGATCATTACCATGGTAATTCTACCACACCACGGGTTTCTGGCCGGTTTTAGAGGCGCCGACGGGGTGTCCTTACTACCCTGTGCGCTCCGAACGACGTTCTTCCGGCCCTTCCTTCAACCAACACTCGAAGGCTGAATTATTTTCCTCGCTTGATCACATCACTTAAAACGAAACCCCAACCCCATTGAGTTTATAGGTTTCTCCCAGACGATTGATTCTCTGCACCGGTGTCCACCGCTCTGTTTCATGCCCCCGTGTTTGACCTCCCCTTCATGTTCGTCTGCGACGACGGCCATCAACATGAACCATGGATGAACGTCGAAAACACGACGTGGACAGGGCTGCCGACATGACGAAGCAGATGTGGACGGGCCGCATGAGGGTGGTGCAAAGGGGCCAGGAGGCGGCGATCATGCTGGTCGACAGGTGAACGATTTTCTTTACGACCACGCCCGTCTCGCGTTAAGAAACCGAAGGCATTCACCGCGGGAGGGGTGGGTAGGGGGGAAACCCTTCTGTGTGGCCGTGGATTATAGAGCTCCTACCGGGCATGAATACGGCTGTGAGCGCTGATATAAAAACACGATCAAGAAAAACATTCCCGTACGTTCGGGGTACGTCTTTGGCCTGTCTCTGTGGTAGTTTTTTGTCTGTCCGCAGCATATTGTTGAGCGTGTACCTTTTGATGTGTCACACGGGCACGTCGTTCCCCACGGGCGGCCAATGTCTGCCGTGGTGACCTCGCCGATGCTCGTGACTCAGAGAGCTTAAACTGAACGGCAAATCATGATTGCCGCCTACACGTTTGGATGCCCCCCCTCCCCCCCGCCGATCCGCGAGGAAGCACCACGATCGATAGCAATAGCAGCGACACCAGTAATAGCAGTTGTAGCAGCAGACCAACAACAACAACAACAACAACAACAGCCCTATCGTACAACCCGCTGATGCTGTTTTTCAAGTCCAATCCCCTCCCCCCCCCTCCCCGCTCGCCACCACCAACAACAACGCGCGTGGCACGCATGCAGACGGGACGGCAAGCTGTTCGCCATGTGCAAGGTGGCGGACGGGGCGGTGGAGCGCGTCCCGGACAGCAGCCGCTACTTCGTCATCAAGATCCAGAACGCCCAGGGCAGGCACGCCTTCGTGGGGCTCGCGTTCGACGACCGCAATCAGGCGTTCGACTTCAACGTTGCCCTCCAGGAGTTCAAGAAGTGAGAGTGTTTGGCGGCCTGCTCTCCATCCTATCCCGCAGGTTTTGCCCGCAGGTTTTGCTTCGCTCGTGTGTGTGCTTGTGGTCTTGTCACGTTGTCCCACCGTGTGATAACCGGGGGCTACGTCGATGATACACGGCTCAATCTTTCGGGGGTGGGTGGGTGGGCGTCTTGTGTCACCGTGTGAGATAATGGCGTTGTGCTCGGGGCTAGAGGGAATAGCACACGGGTGTGGTATTGTGTATCTTTTCGAAGGGGGTGTGGCATCTTACGTAAGTGTGTTTATCTTGTGCAACCTACGGTAGGATGTCGAGTGCGGGGCAGCGGTAGCCCCGGGGGGGGGGGTACTCTTTTATGTTTTGCATGTCTTAGCGGTTAGACCATTGACCACGCGTCCTCGAGAGGACGGAGCATTGTTCCCACAGGACCGATCACCGATGGCCAATCGTTCCTTCCTACTTTGCCAAAGGTGGCTCAAAAATTTCTTCCCTAGTCTGGCTGGGGGGGGGGGGGGATGGGTAGAGGTGGAGGAAGTGTCAAGGAGCACTGGTTGGAGTAGAAGGAGCAGTCCAAGCTAGCGGTGTTGCTGTTGCTGTTGCTGTTGCTGTTGCTGTTGTTGTTGTTGTTGCTGTTGCTGTTGCTGTTGAAGTTGGTGGTGGTGGTGGTGGTGTTTTATATTTGGTAGTGGTTGTTGCTACTTGTTGTGTTGGGTCTGCTCTTGCAGGTTGTTAACATTGGTGGGATGTTGGGGGTGATGCTGCTGTTACCACTGTTGGTAGCGGTGGTGGTGGGATTGGCGGGAACCAAGCAACTACCGGCGCCTCAGTGACTCGTCACACAAATGACGGCGGAAGGACCCCACTCTCTGTAAACCCTGCTCACGTCCCCGCTTTCCCCCCGACTCGCACGCTCGCCTTATGGTGTACCAACCCAGGACTAATCGCCACCTGTCTGACCCGTGCTTGATGTGTTCACGCGAGTAGGGACATTGAGCGGAGCACCAAGCTTAAGGAGGATGGGCAGGGTGGCGGCGACTCGGGCGGAGATGGGGGGAAGGCGGCTGCCGCGACACCGAAGGTCGACTTGAGCCTCAAGCAGGGGGAGAAAATCAAGATCAGTATAGGCGGTGGTTCCTCCAAGGTAGGCGCGGGAGGGGTGGGGATGATGGAGGTGGTGACCAGCAGTAGTGGCGGAGTCGCTCTTTGTGCGGCGTGTGCCCTGTCTGGCGGTTATCGAACGGCGGCGGCTCTGTGTAGCAGAGAGGAGTGCAGCAGCTGCGGCAGGCATAACACACACGCACACGTGTTATCATACATCCCTTTTTTTTGGGGGGGGGGGGCGAGGGAAATAAACCCCCGTGTCAAAAAAAACGTTGGCAGGGCGCGCAGGCGTCCTCCACCCCCTGCTCTTGATGCCCCCGTGCAACCCCTTTGTTCGATAACGCTCTACGTCCCCCCCCCCCCCCCGGGATTTTTCCCGCTTTTTTCCCCACCCCCGTTTAAAAGGCCCCCCCTTTTTTAAAGTAACCCCCCCCCCCAACCCAGTATTTCTGGGTGAAACCCTTTTTTCCCCCCAAAATTTTTGTTTTTTTTTTTTCCTAACCTTTTTCCCAACATTTTCCGAAAACCCCCCGGAACCCTTTTTCTTTATACCCCCCAAGCTTGAAATTATT